TACGTAGATGAAGAATTGTAAATAATAATGCAACGTTTAAATATATACTTTGCTCATCCTTGGGTAAAATATTTCAATCACGGAAATTTATTGAAATATATGAATGTTTTACTCTATATGTCATATTTGAAAAAAAGAATGAATAAACAATATATGGGAAACTGTGTTCCCTATTACAGGTCGAGTAAAATTGGTGTTTTCTTAAAAGACTTACATTTTTAATGACAATATATATTCATATTGCTACCACATTCTAACATATCTGCATTGTATAATGTCAAAACATTTTATGTTATATTTCAAAGAGACTGTATATTCTAATAATGTAGAGTAATTATGGTACTAAAATGTTAGAGTGGTGTATACTTTTTTTAATAAACACATTAATTAGGAAGAAACAAATTAATAAGTTTTACAATCAGCTGTTATGACAATTTATATAAACGATAACAGATCACAAACTCTAACAAGGAATGCCGAAAAGAAAATGTTGAGATAAAAGATGGCGAAACATCTTTTTTATTCTGGCAGGAACTTGTTAATTTTCCAAAAATTTAAAGCTATGACTCAATCATTACTTCATGTACACGAAAATAAAAATAATGAATTTCTTTGTCTGAGTTTTGACCACTGCAATGAGGCAATTTTTGTTATAGGAATAATTACCATCTCCTTCAGTTCTGTTCTATAACAGATCATGATTAACGAGCTTGTATTTCTTTTGGCAGATTTGCCATAAGCTTAACAGAACCTTACAATGCCGTGTCACGACCATAACACAGTTGAACTTTAGACTAAACTGGTAGCAATTGCTTATTAATGAACCAATCTTACATTTTGTCTGAAATCGACACACAAAAAAGAACCAGCACTGAACATTACACGCTATAAGAATGCTCGTAAATTGGACTTAATAGTCGTACATTTGACACTGACATAAGGTCCTTCTGGAAATAACGCAGGAAAGATGAAACTGTTTAATAAGAGTTTTTCAAGACGGACATAATTACTTGGTAAATGAAATAAATAAATGAATAAATAAATATAAAACAAAAGATGTAAAACTGAAACCTATTGTTAATATTTAAAGATATTGTTTGTTTAAACCTTACAAATTTAAATAAATAGATTCCATGCTTGTCAAAATGATCCATAACATATTAGTGCTAAACTTAAACGATTGTTTTACTAACCTCTGATTCATTGCCTGATTTATTCTTCGAAATTTTAAGTGGTGTAGAAGTGGAGATAGGTGAACTAAATTCCTGAATTGGAAAAGAAAAAAAAAACATGTAATACGTGTAACACTTTCGCTAACTAGTGTTATTATTTCTTTAAAGATCCAACAAAAGTATATCTGCTTTTTCTAAAGAAAAACATCTCATTATTTCAAATTACTGAAGGTCAATTTTTGACCCGACATTTTAATCAGTAGAATTTTTAAGATTAGGATAATGAAATATTGATGTATTTTTTATTAATTCATGTGGGTCATTTGACTTAATATTAAAAGTTTAAACTTAAACAAAACATGAAATTTTTTAATAATTATTTGTTTAATAATTTGACAAGACGATAGATAACTTACTCCAAGGGAGAAATCATACTGATCATCAACAGATACACTATCATATGCTGTGTCCTACAAATATTTCAAAGATAAACAATTTTAAAACGAGAGCTTTAGTAAATGCATAAACTGTAGGATGTGTGAGTTAATATGCTTAATATCCATCTGAAGAATAAATGAAAAAAGAACAATTTCTGTAGCTAATAAATCTCCTAGAAAATTAAAATATTCCCAATTCTAAAGCATATTCACAAAAATGCACCCCGTCCTTTAAAAAAAGATAAAATGGTATAAACATAAAAGTTATAAAAATGAACATAATCGACAACAAACATATTATTGATTCAATTTTGATAAATCAGCTATAGAAGTATCCGATCTTTTATAAATGCAATTTATGAATCTCATTTCTTATGTCACAGCAATGAGATGTAAAAGTAAACAGGTTTTTAAAATCGTACGAAAATGTGATAAAATATTTCTTAAAGTAAGCGAAAAATAATGCAATGAATAGTAGGATATGGCTGTTAAAATAGCTGATACATAATAATAACATAACCTTTTAGTACTTAATTTTATTATTTTATGTCCTGACATTATGATTAAATGTTGATTTGCAAGACACATTTTTAATAATATTCACATATTTCTTTGAAAATCATAAACGTTTTTGTATATTTAACTTATATGATGTTTTGTGATGTAATATAATGACATGGTATGTTACGTGATGTTATTATATATAAATCGTTCATAGGTTTTCAATGGTTGTTTTAATTTAAAATACATTTTATAAATTAAAAAAAAAATGTTTCCATCTCATAGATGAATTTGCTTAATAGTTATCGTGCTTTGCAAATTGAAAATTAAAATTATAAAAATACTACTTACTTCTAGTAGATTGCTTGATATCCCAAATGAAGCTTTAAGTGTTGTCGAAGTGGAACTAGGTAAATTCGATTCCTAGATTGAAAAAAAAAACAAAAAAAAAACACTATATTTATTATTTGTTTACTCATGCTAAGACGTTTAATACAACAGAAATAACAACTATTTGCTTTTACCAAAGGAAAATATCTCATAATTTCAAATTACTGAAAGTCAAATTTTGATACGACTTTAAGTATATACTTTTTTGATTAGGTTAAAAAAAATATTGAGTTTTTTATTCATTCTTGTTGTCATTTGACTCATTCACATTTTAACAGAAACAAAACATGAACATTTACAAAAATTACTTTTTATAATTTGACGTGATGTTAGATAACTTACTCCCAGGGAGAACTCATACTGATCATCAACAGATAGACTATCACATTCTGTGTCCTACAAATATTTCAAAGAAAGACAATTTAAAAAAGACAGCGTTAGAAAATGCAGAAACTTAAGGATGTTTATTTGTTTGCTTTCAGTAAACATGTTAAATATCACACTGAAGAATAAACGAACAATAATATTTTTACAAGTGCGTTACACTAGTGGAAAATTATGTTGTTTTATCCAACTCTTTGCCATATTTACACACATTAAAAATACGTAAACAAAAAACATTTACGCAAGAAACAAAATTACACAAACGTTTTAAAATTACTAATCATATAATTCTGATTTTATTACAAATAAAAAAAAATCCGCAAATAATGCATTTATGCATGAGCTTTTTAAGATTTTAGAAAAAAAGTTTTAGACTATAAACTGATCTCACATTTATTAAATCTTATTAAATTTGTTTTATTCAGGCTATAACGTTGTTTCAAAAAAAGTATAACAAAATGTAAATGTAATAAATGTAAACTTGCAAGATGGATAGTCATTCTTTATTAATGATTTACAATCAGGAAATAAACTGAATTTCCAGATGACTTCTCAGATAAATCATCAGAAATCTTTACATTTTGTATAAAGTAAGAATAGAGTAAAACATAAAAATATTTGCCTGCTGCTCCATAAAACTAGATCTGTTGTTACTATTTGATATAATTCTATATAAAAGATGGGATATATGGGAGGCATTTGTGTAATAATGTATATATGTGAAATATTGTTAACTGAAGTAAACATATTTTCCTCATTTTCCCCAGTATCTTGCCAGACTTTAAGTTTTGAATTTATAACTAATAAATAATAAGAAAATTTACCTTAATTTAAAAAACGCATCAAGTGAATTTTCGGCAAACATATCAATTAATGAAAATAAATCCCATCTTGATTATCCTATTTATATATCTATATTTATATCTCTAAAGAAGATTTCCTCTTCTTTTTAAGGAAGTATTATTCATATAAAGAGTAATATATTTGTCCAATACAATTTATCCGACCATTGATGTGCTTAAATTATAATATAAATCTATTAAAGACATACCTGCTCAGCATTTTCACTGTGACTTCCATGTTGATTCGTTAAAGTAGATATCGCAACGTCATAATGGTTACCATCCTTGTGATGCAGATAAATTGCACCTTGCACTTTCAGTTTTCCATCAATTGGTCTGAATGCAAGCCAATCTTCCTTTAATCCGTATTTAGTGAAAACGAAAATGTTCATTCCGAATAAACTTGATGCACCAAGAATTTCAATGTCTGTACCCCACACACCGTTTTCGTCCATTTTACTTGTTCTCCTGTAAATGTCCTGCTCATGAGCAACAATTTTTTTGCCGTTTTTAGTGCTTGAAATATATGAAACTATAAGACTACGAAAGTATCCATGATAATCTTCAGATCCACATACTGAGTAAGAAATTGCCCGAAACAAACAATTACCATCCCCTTGAATTTTATGTGTGTTAAATGAAATTCCTAATGGGCATGACTTTATGCAGTCAACATCATTTTTTGAGTTTAATGGCGTGAGACCTATTGGCTTGCACAATTTTAATTTATCATCGTTTGAAAGAGGATTAAACTGATCCATAATTCTTGATAACTATGACACGGTATGAAAATTAATTTATCGGATGTGTTTTAGAAAATGAATTTCTTACAATTCAATTCATCTAAAGATAAAACCCCGCCTTGAGAATTGATAATTGACGCCTTGATGTACATTGACCAATCACGTGAAGTTTCTTGTAATTTCAGGAACCAATAAAATCAAATGGTCAGAACATTAAGTATTGGGTTAAAAAGTTGCGTTATTTTGCTCGCCTGCAAAGCGCCGAGGGTAACCAAATCAAATACACATAACCTTTTTTTCAAAAAAAAAAAAAATTAAAAATTACAACAATGCAGAGAATAGCTTCGACGAATGAACAATTTAGAAGTACAGATTGGGACATTATCAACAAGCTCAAAATCGGTAAGCAATGTTTGCGTTTTGTTTTTATTTATATATATTGCAAAATTAAAAGTTCATCAAATGTTATGTTTTAAAATAATTCTTTATTTCAACAAATGAATAAGTATAGTTTGTATTTATTTGTGTTTATATTGTTTTCAGGGACACATATTCAGGTTCATATATCTAACCTTATCAATCCACACGTACATCGCAGAGTCAGAGACTTAGACCACTCACATATCGATCGGTTAAAAATGGCTTTTAAAACATCGTACAGGGCGGAATTCAACTGTATGGTTGGCATGGTTGTGAACAAACCGCCAACATTGGATGATTTTGCATTTCCTGGAAGTTCAACTGTAGAGGTTCTAGGTGGGAACCACTCAAGAGTAGCGCTCCAAGAGTTGAATTTGCAACAATGTGTGACCATGGTGCTGTATGAAAACCTTTCTGATGCACAAGCATTAACTATCGGTTTAGAACATAACCGAACCAATGAAAATGCGAAGCTGATGAATTTTGAAGACGATGTTCTTCTATTTAGAAATGTTCTTGAATCAAAAAGAAAAGAGAATTCCGAGAAAACTAAACGTCAGATCTCAATTATATGGAGATCTGACTTATGTGGAATAACTCAAAGAAATGTAAGTAGATTTAATATCCCCTGTTATCGTTATTCAATATACTGTTAAATTTATAATTCGATACATTTTGCTATTTTTTAATTCTCAAATAATAGTGCATCATATTTAACGTGAGCCAGTCGTAAGTAAACTATTATTAGTATTCATTTTGTAACAGATGCTTAAAGCCACAAAAAGCCCAAGTTAAAGTTTAACAGACATCTGTATACATTAACCAATGCACATCAGAAATCATAATACTAAAACTAATGCGCACATATTGTTTCAGAAAGTGGAATTAAGGAATTCTTACAAGATCCATATGCATTTAGCATCGCTACAAAAAGATGAATGGAATGCGCTAATAAATGTTTTTGATGCTTTTAGGAAGGTAACAAATGGCTTCTATTTGTTTCATGTGTTACAAAGTTAGCGCATATTATCTTTTTGACATGCATCTGTTCTAGATTAATCAGTCCACTAATTAAGAAACATCGAATTCTGTACACATCATTTTTTTTTATCTTTGACCAAATATAATATATTTTCTTACTGATTTAACTTAATGCTGCTAATTTAATGTTTGAACATGATAAAAAACATATATATATATCAACATATTTCGTAAATAATGTTACATTATTTTTGATAAAACATATCAAACATGAATAGATTTTTATCTTTCTTAAAACAAGATTTATTTTTGTAGCAGGAGAGTGACTTTATTGTTTGTTGATCAAATGAATTATTCTATGTAAACTTTCTTTTTATTTTAGAAAACAATAAAAGGTCTCAAAAAAGTCGACAATGTAACACAATACATGTTTAGGATGTTCATAAGACTTCCCAGTGACAGTGTTAAGAGGAATCTTCTTTTAGAATTAGGATCCGGTGAAATCACACCTCATGAGTTTAGGATGAAGATCAAGAGGTATGTATAATGAAATAGATTGCAAATGATCATTGATATTCATATTTTATCAATCAACATTTACCAGGTGATAAAACAAATATATAATTAGCATGTAATTTTTCATTTCCATATCGCCACAAATTAATTAATTTATCCGAAGTAAAGCAATGTATGCAATTTATACAATTTATAATTATGATTTATACGATAGCAAGTTCCCTGAGTTGCGATATTGTCCTTTATCATCATGTAATGCTAGAAATAACTTAGATGAAGTAATTCAATAATTATATAACGTTGGCGGAAAAGGAACTGCCTATTTCCGAAGCAAAACTGTCAAAATGTACACATATGATTGCCGAATGCTATATAGGGATGTTTAATATCAGCAGACTATTATATTATGTAGTTGAAGAGATTTTTAAATACTTATATAACGGAAGATTTCTTTTGTTCTTTCAAACATGACTGTGTTTGCTACCTTTTTAAATATAATATGACAAGAAAGTTTTATGATATACCTTGCTTAAGTTGCAAATTTTCAAGAATTATAAAACATTAATATTGCTAGATATAGTTTGCTTTACAATAATATTGTTTGCATTTAACAACTTTAGATAAAGATTAATACGTTTTATCATTTTCTAAATAAATGTGGGTACAAATTCATAGCAACAATTCTATTGCTCGATTCTTTGTTTTTGCGAACACATATATACAATATTCACTATGAAAAATGCAAAATTATGCTATAACAAATTTCTGATATTGTTTCTTTCTCTTACCTAATATTTAATCACTATAATCATTTCTAAACTCCTCCATTTTCGTCGATAATGCGATAAAAATCAAATAAGAGTCTTGCAGGTCAAGAACTTTTAACTGCCACTAAAAAAAACTATTAAGTCATTGAGTCTGTAAATATGTGCTATCTCTGACAGAGTGAGAGGAAAGCAAGAAAAACAGTTACGGTTATCCTGTTTGACAATGTCTGATTGATGTTTTTGTTGTTGCTTTTACTCGGTCAGTATTTGTCGAATAACTGATGTAATAACTGATAACCCTATTTCTTTCAAAAATATATTTTTGTATATATTTGTATCGTATATCTTGTAAAATTGAACGGAATAAAATATGTTTAAATTAATCATTTAAATATAAACACTTATGAATACTAAATAGACTTTGCTGAAAAATTTACTCTATATATTTATATATATATATATAGACAAATCCAGATATTGCAACTTACAAGTAAAGGCCAGTATCAAATTTCATCCCATAACTTTTAATATAATTAAATAGTTTATTAGCTTCAGATATCAGTCCAGAAAATAGATAAATAAAGATGAGAGATTTAAAACAAGTTCTTTTACAAGACCCTTTATACAAAATGTAAAATTACCACATGTTCTACCTCGACCATAATACAAAAAAGGAACATTGAATTACAGATAAAACGTTCTAGAAATCAATAGATATTTATAAATTAACATATAAAACTGTAGAAATTAAAATCAAATCATGAATTTATTCATATTTATAGACATTTTTACTATAGTAAAACCAAAAAATTATTCATTGATGTGAACTGTTGTTCTCAAATCCGATATACATTGTATTGTTTATACATTATTTAGATATTATGTTTAAATTTATCATACATGTGTCAGATAAGCCCAGCCTACTCGCCATTTATGCTTACTATGTTTATTACCGCTCTATCAGTCAAGTAACGAAATTCCTTCTTCATCTGTAAATGATTTGAGCGTGAGACTGACATATAAATGTTTTAAACTCGCACTGCCATACGAATATAAAATATAGCCCTCTTAAAAATAATCAAACAATTATGCTAAAAGTACATAGATAATATGATATTTACATTCACGAACCGGTCACACATTTAATTACTAAATATAAGTAAATGAAAAAATGTATTGTAAAATTGTGTGCTTTTAATGAAAAAGGCTGTTAAAACTAAAACATTGTGTACGGCTTTTTGATTGAAACATTTTTTTCACAAATGCTCTTTATCAGCTGCGCGAAGATATGATCTTCACCGACAGAATAAGCCACAAATGATAATATATTACTTTTTCTATTTTCATGTATTTCCTTCGGTGATTATATGACTTGCATGCCTTTTCAGAATTGTAGACCAGAAACAAATAGATTTGGCGGAGACGGAGGATATTGCCAAAGATAATGAGATGGAGTTAAGCACGGAAGATTCACTTTCAGCAAACGATCAAAGGTATTACTTAAAACTGAATTGTTGAGACCAGACACAACGAAATTCTCAAATAAATGATTTTTATCTTCATAAAAGTGTTTTTGGATAAATATACCTTCATCTGACACATTCGAAATCAGATATAGTTTAAGTTTCATGTTAATCCTGCTCAAATATTCATTAAATGATATCTAAAAAATTAGGTTACCATCTTGATTCTGACGATTCGGGTATAAACTAATAAATGTCATCTTTGCAAATTCAGATACACTGAGGAAGAAGCATATAATTTTGTGGATATCCAGCAAGAACAAACCTCACACCGGTAATTGCGAAATGCTTTAAATAAATGATAAATATGATTTCTAACGGGACTTATAATCTATATATCGAAATAACATATATTTACTTTGTTTAATTATAAAAATCACTTTATTTTTCTTTACCAAACTTATACATCTCACAATTCTTAGTTGCTCACACAAAAATCCTCCTATTTGAGTGATCTCTTTATCGTACATTATCCTATATGTTATAAATATATAATTGAATATAAAACAGGACCAAGATGGATAACCACGAACAATTAGAAGAGGATATGAAATACATAACAGACAGTTTGAAAAGGGAAAAGGAACTTCGGAAAATGGCTTTTGTTACGATTGAAGCGAAGGAGACACTTATAAAAGAGAAGGATAAAAAAATTTTGGAGCTCGAGGATAGAGACAAACTTCAACAGAAGGTGACTATTCAAATATGTGTATGGTGTTTTCAAGGCACAAGTAATTATGTGCGTAAAACACCGAAATTATGCTAGTTAATCAACTAATTTAAAAGTAGATTCGAATGACACACATGTGTTAATAATGGAACAGTTATATAAAAGGATAACGTTTATAAAGTTTCTACTATAAATATATTACATAGGTTATACAAATGCTTACATTGTCGCTCATGTCAACAATAAACACATGAGTTTTGTTTCTATTTTTCAGACAAACAAAGAATATATGATAAAGCAAAATCTAGAACTTGAAAAATATAAGCTGCAAATTCGACAATTGACAGTAAGTGGAAAGTAGATATTCATTACTGTAAATTACAACAAACGTGTATGACGTGTATGCTTTAACACTGCTAAAGGGTGCTCATTGTAACACCTCGAAATTTTTAATTTCACCCTTGACTGTGTTCAAGCAGACGGTTATATCTAAACAATAGTTATCTTAAAGCATTTATCAAATTATTTAAATTCCAATAAATCTATTTTCGTTTAGACGATCTGATGATTGGTTAGTAATCATCAAATGAGCCGCGTCACGACAAAACCAACATAGTGCGTTTGCGACCAGCATGGATCCAGACCAGTCTGCGCATCCACGCAGTCTGATCAGGATCCATGCTGTTCGCTAACCAACCCTTTTACAAGTAGAGACAATAATAGCAAACAGCATGGATCCTGATCAGACTGCTGCGCGGATGCGCAGGCTGGTCTGGATTCATGTTGGTCGCAAACGCAATATGTCGGTTTTGTCGTGACGCGGCTCAAATATGTTAAGGTGCCTTATTTTACTTAAACCTACAGTTGCAAGTTTATGAAAATGGAGGCTTTAGATATGTCTTAAAGCATATTCAAGTATCAGCTGTATTAAATTGATATTGATTGAATGATAGAATTAAAAGCATGTAATGGTGTTAGTTTTTTGGTTCTATAGATTTATGTCTGCAGTTTTCTGACTGAAAACTGACATTCAATACGCAAACTAAATATTTTATCAATATCTTAATTTTTCCCTTTGCATTTCCATTACCTTAAAAGTAAGCCTTTGTCATTTGATATTGTACATTATCTGTTATATATATATATATATATATTAGTACCAATTAATGTATCATGTACATGTAACAGGGGGTAATCAATTGATTAAAGTGTAGTTGGAATAAAAGTAACTCTAATTAACTATATATTCCTTAAGATGAAGACAGATCTTCTTCAAAAAGAGTTAGAAAGAGAAAAGATAAGATGTAAAGCAGCAGAGGAAACTGCAGCTAGAGCAAGGGCTCAATTTCTTAAAAATACCAACGTAAGTTTGTTTCTATGTTATCTATGTTATAACTATATTCCAAGGCATTTCTAAAAATATTTCAAAACATAATGTAGTTACGATTTTTGAAAAATACTTGTAAAATGTGACTTGCTTTTTTCTAAATAGTTGTAGAATAATATACAATCGTAATACTTTCAAATATCGGATTATTGTAGCTATATGATTTCCTTATATGGCATGGGAACCTAACACATTACTATGATACAAATACTCTAAGAACTAAAAGATTTAAGTTCATTCATGTCTTCCACAATGGCATAATTTACTCGCCATTGATCTTCTGAATGTTGCTCTGTGATTTTCAACCTCCGGTGTACGTTTATAAAAATTATTATATTTTCAGAATGACAATATACTGATTTCAAAACGAAAAACAGACATGACCAGCGAAAAGGTATGATTTACCACTTACTCTTCATCTATTTGACATAACAGCAAATGTGTTACTATCATTAGTCAGTTAATGATAAACTCATTTACAAATTCACAAATGACAAATGCATTTAAAAACGACATTTCGATCTTTTTACTTTCTTAGCACATGAACTATCGAATTAATTTCCTTATTTTCATTGCAACATATCGACAAGGTATGCTTTTTTATTTAAAGGAGAATGGCAAGAAGCCAAAACAACGTAAGACAGTACCAATTGTAAAATCAATGGAAATCAGGATTGAAAAGGTAATTAAATTCTCAAAGACTTAAACGTTTATTTTACATTAACGGGTTTCATACAGAACTGCGAAATATGCTGTTTCACTCATTTTGTTGCAAATGTGACATAAAGTTAAAAAAAATTCTCTGCATTTATTTAAGATTTTTATTCTTGGCAAAGTAAAGATTAAAGCTCCGTAGTTCCATAGAAGACGTCTTTAAAAAGTCTGATTGTCAGTAATTATTAACATTACCGTGCTTTGTTTCTAGAATGTTGTCTATTTGAAATTAATATTCTTTAATTAAGATGAAACTTTGTACTTAATGTGCCATACGTGTACATTTTCTGAAATAAATAAGTAAATAGTGTATTTGTTTCTTTATGCATTATTTAATCATGTCTATCTGTTTAAACGAAAGAAACAACATGTGTTTGAAAAAAATCAAAACATTTTCAGCTTGATGCCGCCAATCAACAAAATTACGAGGAGAAACAGGAAAAAATGTCAGAAGGAGAAGATAAAGTAGGTTTAAAAATAGAATAGAAAATATATTCAAGAAAAGTACCAGTTGTTATAATTCTAAATAAAGCATTGCATTTATTAATTATTCATAGATTAGATGATAATGATTTTATAACAATACAACACTTTAAATGTTCCATAGTAAAAGTGCTAAAAGGTCAGCTTTTGATATTACAAAGATGTGCTTCGTTATACATATTTTAAAGCATCTCATGATCAAATGCACGATAGATTGTTTAAATTTTCTTGCAAGTTAAAACTCTTAATCAATACATCCGTTCCAATATAATGTTAAGGCATTTAGCAAAATTATTTTTAAAAACATTTCTTTTTATTTAAAGCGTGATGCTAACCACAATCATAACTCCAAGGAGAGAAAGGAAATATTGTTAGAAAAGGATGAACAAGTAAGTAAAAAAATCAGAGAATCAGAGGAATTGCAAAATTTACCTTCATTTTTCAAATTAGTTTAAGAAGTATATTTGCATTGAATACTTTTTCATTGGGTTATAACGACCTCAAACGGTACAACAACATTCTACTATGTTTCATAGATGACGTGAGTAAAAGTGCTCAGAGATGAGCTTTTGCCATCGCAATATTTGTGTCGTGTAACACAGGTAAAAAACATGTTCAAAATACCGTCCCCTACAGTTTGACTTAATGTGAAAGGACTTTTAATACGTTTTTTAAATGTTCTGCAAGCTTCAACTGTTTTTGTTTCTAAATATGTAGATATCACTTTGCACTCTAGTTTGTAAGTAGTAATTGATTAAATTGTTGAAAAAATGTTATTAGCATAACAATTACTTATCTTGCAGTTTTATTCTCTTTATTCAATTATCTGTTCAAATCACATGTGTTTAAACAATAACAAAATGATGGTGAAAATTTAAGTATTTTTTTTTATTATTCAGATTGATGCAAATCCAAAACATAACTCTGAGGAGAAAAAAGGAATATTGTTAGGAAGGGCCGATAAAGTAAGTAATCTTAATCAGATAAAATTGGGTACTTGAGCAAAATTGTCCTTTTTTGGTTTCAGATTATTATTTGCATTGACTTATTCTTCTTAGTGTGAATGATTAAGACATACATAAGTACTTCAACATTCCTCTATTTTTTAGATAACCTGTGTAATATGTGCTCCGAACCGTTAGATTTACTTCGTTATGCATAATCATGAAAAACATCTTCCAAAAAAAAACCGTTCGCTCGATTTTGACTTAATTTGACATAAAGAGGTTCCTACAGTACTGTGAGCTTAAGCTACTGTATTTTCAAATTGTGCAATCTGAACAACTCTTAAATTAATATCTTTGAACGCAATACGGAATGAAAGAAGTTCTACCACATAGTTTAGGTGTATACACAAACAGATATGGTTATCTTTGATAATGTATAATAAACTAATATATTTGACATTCAAGGAAAATAAAGTCTGTTTCAAAACAATTTTGATTTGGAAATGTTTCTAACGTTAATAATGAATTTAAAATGACCACTAATGTATAACTTTAAACAAATTCGATTTAAGGTAGTACACCCCTAATGCACTGTCTCCACTTTGAAGAGTATCCAAATAGGCTAAAATCACTGTAAAGTGTATTGAAACTGAGGGGGCGTGGGTTCAAACCCCAGAAGGGGCAATTTTTTTTCTTTCTTTTTTTTCTTTTTAACATTTTTTATTAACCTCTCAGACCCCCTATAGAAGAAAAAAGTGTTTCATTTTAATTATATAATTATTGTAGGTATTTATTTATTAAATAATGCCAAATTTAATAGCAAATATGATACCAGATATTTTCAAAGTTTAATAAAATAAAAACTAAACGGTAAAAGTATTTTATATTTTGCAAGACCAAGCAATATACATTAAAGAAAATTTAGGCAAACTTTGAAAATAGCCCCTCATTTTTGAAAATTTTAGGGATATTTTAAATAAGGCTTTTTACATAGGGAAATGGTCAAATTAGTGTTAAAAGTGGGTGGGGTAGGGTTACATTTTTATACATATTTAAAACATTTCGTTTAAAAACAATCATTTTGCTTGTTTAATTTGTTACCTATATGTCATTGTTTATTTCTTAACAATGAGCAAAAGGAAAACATTTTTCATAATGATGATATTATAGATTATTTAGAGTTTCCTCATTTCTGAAAAAATCCCTTCTAATGGCAAAGTTTTAGTTCATAAAAATGTCCATAACTCATAAACCACACGGTAAATTTTGTTTAAATTTTGCATACAGGTGACATTTAAGGCATATAACTGTCCTATGTTGTCAAATTTACAATTCCTTATAGTGCCCATTAGGGGTGTACTACCTTAATGTCAACAGTATCTACAACCATCATAAGTACAAAAATAATGTGCTGTTTATTTTTATAGCATAATGTTTACTTAATTAAGTTGGACTTTTATACTCGATATATTTGAAAGACCCCAAGCCTTGTATATCTTCCTGTTTACATATTAAGTTGTTTAGGTCTATGTAAGACGGAAACACCTTATCCGTTCTGTGTATTCTACTATTTTGTCCAAAGTCCTTTTTTGTCCGTCCAAGAAGATGGTTTTAAGTCAATAAAAAACGTTCAAATTGCCTTCTCTTAATAGAGAGCCTCGATCGGGTAAGGCACTGATCCCCTGAGGATCAAAATCAAGCTCACTGTTACTTAAATTAGAAAATCGGTTTACAGTCAATTACTAGAGCTTACAATGACAAATTTCAATGGGAATTGGTAAAATAACGTGAAACCTTCGGGTCAATGTCGTTTTATTTAACAAAAAAAAGGTATCCTGTCCAGTACAAGCGTAAGGAATGATCTATATTCATTGAAACCTGGTGCTTAAAATTTGAAGTCCTAAATCGGATTGTTCTTTAGTAATCTAGGGTAAAGGCTATTATTGCTTTTACTAAGAAGATAATTTGCTTTCCACTCAATAACTGGAGTTTATAATGAGATAAATCAATGAAACTGTGTAGTAAGATGCCGTGAAGACATCGTTTTGAGCTCAAAGACTTAAATTATAAAATTGTGTCAACTCAAGATGTCCATATTTACCCAGAAACTCAATATAGTAATCAGAGTTGTTATATTTTTTATGTTTTTGAATCGTGTGGTGTTAATAGTCGGACACTTGCAGAGTTGTTACTGGTTACTACAAGAAAGCCATTAAAGTGTTTCGACATATGACTATAATATGCAGAAATCTGCGTAAAACAGAAAACATAATTTTATATAAATCGTATTTCTGATTTCAAAAATATAACGTTTTGTTATACTTCTCATCAATAACATCAGCTCTGATGATATTACTTTTTATGACGTTTTTCTTTTGATGTACATATAAAACTCTATATAATAGATAATTATTCAATTTTGAGTATGCATTATTGTATTTGTTTCCAAAGCAAAAATCATTTCTTTTTCAGGAAAGATGCACAATAGCCCTCGTAGAGTATAACAGAGGGAAAGTATACTATGTCATGCTAACAGATGAAGATAATATAGCTTATTGCCATAAGCCAGTAGGGCAAATTAAAGATGGTGTATTTATACAACATCCGACCGCAGCATCCTTTATTGTAAATCATAAAGATGTTCAGCAGTTTGAAGAAAAGTTTATCATATGTCGGTTTTCATGCGTATCTGATGGCACGCATATTTCTGTCGAAAATATGTCGTTGAAAATGACTGACCAGCTATTAGACATACAAACATACATTAATAAATTAAACGCATTGTCTTAATACAAGGTTTAATTTACAATGTCTCAAACATCATTAGAAAGATTACATTTTAACTTTTATTATATTCTTGAACAATTACCATCTTGATTCAATTCAATAGCACTAATTGTCAAGTGTAAAGTTCAGTTCTAATTTTGAATGAGATCATTGCAAATGAAACTGAATTCAAGAAAAAAATGAGAAGGAAAACCATAATCTTACAAGATGATTAGAACATAAGCAGACATCCCATGCAAACTGTATCCTCATTTACAATGAATAATCTTCAAAACTGGAGAGTCTGCATAACCTAAACGATTTATGATTGAAACAATACAATTTATTGCTTTGTCCGGAACAATATCTTATTTGCATTGCCTTCTAGAATTTGTTTTGACAACAATTAACAGAATTAAAAGGGTAATTTTGAAAACCCTGTTTTTTATCTGTTAAGCTATAGAGATGCAGTAGGATAGGAAACATTGAAATGCTCATTTGAAGTGCATTTATTATTTCATAGAATAATGCTTTGAGTTTGAAAACTGAACATAAAGAAAGGCTTTTCAGTTCGGTTTATTTTATATCAATGCATAATATTTAACATAAATTCGATAAAGTAAAGAAAATATGGAAATGTTTTAATTGTGTTTATCTTAACAATAATAAAACAGACTAGTTAAACTTGTTTCGCTCCTTCACTGTTTTATTAATCCCTATTGAACATTATATATAACATGTTTTATACATATACACATTTTAACTCTTCTCTAACAAACTGCAGATCTGTAGTTGGTTTATTGTGTTCTTATTTCAATCATTTTCAAAAAAAATATACCAACGTTACTTATGCCACGTTACTTTTTATGAACTCAGTGGGACAAACAAATTAATTGTTTTGCCCTCCAAAACGTTGAAAAAATGTTTTATGTATCGTTTTGACAAAATATGTACACATGATCTGTGTTTAAATACATTTATTATAATATTAACACATATGTAGTTAAGTACATCATGATATGCACGGAAATTCTTTTTGTCCTAATATTATTTGTCCAAATAACAATAAAAAATATAAAAATTAAAAAAAAAAAAATTCTGCTTAATTTACCTTTGTTATTTTCATCGTCGTTGACAAAGTATTGGCCATATACATATCATTGAAAACTCATTTTAAAATCTTAATAAATAACGGTTAAAAGTAAAGATCAAACTAACCCGATTAAAAGTTAGAAGGGTGTTCCTCTATGAAAATATCAAATATCACCG